GAACAATAATTTTTTTGTTATGTTTTCTTAATCGGGCCCCCTCAAGATCATAAATTTATGATTCCTGCCTTCGCCACTGGATGTTGGACATGGACGCGCGCGGACGGGGGAGCTGGTTTTGGGAAAATGGTGATGGGCCAGGACGAGCAGCACTGTGAAGAGAGAGAGAGAGAGGATTTTTTTCTTTTACATCAGAGGAAGAAAAAGATTGTTGAAGAAGAAGGGTATGACATGTGGGCCTGTATGATCAATGAGAGAAACAAGCTATCCCACTCGAGATTGTCCTGCCAAACAGATGTAGGGTCGGTTTAGGGTTACAAGTGGCTGGGATCGGTGAGGACACGGTATGGACTTCAAGGATTTCAACGTGAGGATTCGTTTGGGTCGCGCTCTACAACCACATGGTTCAAAACAGATTTCACTCGTTGATTGGTGGCGCGCGACGGCCCGATCAAGCTGTTGTACGCTCGATGTACAAGCTCGATTTCCGGTACTAAAAGGAAGTTGTATGCTCGACTCTAGTCTAGTGGCTGCTCGGTATGCTTGAAAAGAAAGCCTGTATATTGAGACGATTGCTTATTCACCATTGACAACACTACAAGAAACCCGTTAATTCATGACGAATTTCTGATGACGTTCTAAGAATCCGTCACAGTCAATGACAATATTTTCTCATCCGTCATGGAAACCGTCATCGATCAGCAAGATGGAATGTGCCTAGAAACTTCGTGAAGCCCATATGACTTTTTTTCCATGAAGAATGCAATTTTATTTTTTAGTAAAAAGAAATCTTATTGGCACTCGATCCCAAGATCTCTTAGGTTAAGAGACTAGCTTGTGATAACTACGCTACCATCCTGACTCAAAGAGCATTCAGACATTTTCCTTTTGATAATACTCCTAAGTACAAGTTTTCGTAAAAAAAAAGAGATCTTGCACCTCTCACCTACTTGAATAATTCAATACAAGTTGGTCCAGATATTTTGGTGTGACAGACGGACATAAATAATTGCACTAGTATACAACAACTACATATATACTACTAGATCATGATGGTGCGCGTTGCTGCACCCATCAATTTTGGCATTAGAATGGTTGGAATTCGTATATGCATATGAAGACATTAAACATATAAATGATATGATTGCCCCTAAAAGTTTATGAACGTAATCTATATTAAAAATCTTGTTTTATAAATGATATAATTTCCCCCAAAGTTTAAGAACGTATTCTAAATTGAAAGTATTCAAACAACTGGGAGCAACAACCTCTGAAACTTTCAGGCAAGTACAACCATCATCTGGTAGCTAAAATTGCACAAGACCATACCTACTAAGAAGCCAAATGAGAGAATAGAAACACAGATTCTTGTGCAATTGTAACAAACAGTGGCTACAATTATTGGTTCACATGTATATTTTGGTTCAAGGAAAATCATACTCCCTCCGTCCCATAATATAAGAACGTTTTTGACACTACGTTTTTGAAACTATTGTAGTGTCAAAAACGTTCTTATATTATGGGACGGAGGGAGTAGTAACCACCCCGTGTAATGAAAGTTATTCTGTCAGAGTATGACATTTGGTGTATCTCTATCTTGCGTAAGTTACTGTATTTAAGACCTCATCACCGGGAATGTGATGTACGACAATATTTCCTGCTCCCATCAACAACGCCTCATAGCAAATAGGGGTACAACAAATAGCAGTTTGGGAGAACATCCGCGAACAGTTTTATTTATAATCAATTCATGTATCACTTGAGTAGCAGTACAAATATACACATAGTGTTGAAGATTTTACGAAACATGTAATAAGGAATAAATGAGTTGAACTGATTGCAATCCAATGTGGAATCAACAAATCTCTTAAATAACTTCTCCCAAGCAG